AAACCTACTGGAATAATTTGTAAATCAGTTTCTTGTTTTTCAATATTTTCTTTTAATATATGAATATATTTATTAAATAATTCATAAATTAATAGATCAGCTTGTTGAATTTGATTATTATTATTTTCTAATCCATATAAATACATTTCTAATTGTTTATCTTTAGCTTGTGGAATTTTTTCATCTTGTTCATAATTATAATAACCTTGTGGTTGTGCAAGTAAAAAATCAATGATTGTTCGACAAAATTGTGAATTTAATTGTATATAATTTGAATTTAATTGTACTGTTTGTTGATCAATTATTTTTAATGAAGAAATTTTAATTTCCATTTTTTTAAATTTTTTTGCAACACTTGTTGATAATAAACTTGATAATGTTGATGTTGATGTTGATGATTGTATTTGATGATGTTTTAAATATACATCACAATATATTTCATTCCAATGTATTGATTTTATTAATGGATTTTGACATAAATCAAGACGATGACGTGTTTCATTTAATTTTGTTAAACCTAATTTAAAATGACGTTGACGTAAAGCACAATATGACATATCAAAGTAATGATTGAACTTTATAATCAATTAATAATGGATCAAATTCAGTTGCTTTTAAACGACTTGTAAATGTCATACGTGGTCCATCAATTAATTTATCGAGAATCTTAAGTTAAATTATAATTAGTAGTTTGAAAAACTTTTTTTTGAATGATCGCAAATTTAAAAGAACGACTAGGATGAATATATTCAAGAAGGAGATTCCCCAACTGATTAAACGGTTTTCAGGATATATTGTATGCATTATGTAAATCCTCGTGACAGACCTTAAAGATAATAGTTTATAGTGAAAGTTTCAAATCCTGCGGTTGTGCCTATCCGGAGATTCGGCTATAGTGAAAGTTTGTCTTTTACATTGCTTAGATACAGGGACAGATTCGATTTTCTTATTTCAGAATAAGAGCGAATTCAAAGAATTGAAGCTTTCACAATAAATTATTCTAGTTGAGGCTTGTCTCGGTTGAAAGTTTTAAGTTGAGAATCAAAAAATGAGTTATTCCAAAGAGGTCTACAGCATAGAGATAAACCAACACGACGAAAGTGCAGTATCTTCGCAACAATAAAATAAGGGTCCAAACTTTTCTCAAAATATTCATATCTCGTTAGAGTCAACATGATGTGAATAGCCTCAACTTAAAAGGCAATTCATCAAGTGAGGAATTTCCTTTATCAGATTAAATAACTTGAAACGACTCTGGCAAATATTCAATACAAATTTGATAGAAAAGTCAAATTCGATGTACCACAATAATTTTGTAAGCATATATCAACTTAGAGTAAATTTATCGCGTTTGATGTTTGAATCAATAAAACTTGTTCTTAATTGAACATATCGTCGTAAAAACTAACTTATACAAATCTCAACACAATAGACAATAACAGCATTTTATCAACTGAAATAGTCTTTAATCGATTTATTTAAAAAATAAAATAAAATCAACCATTTCTGTTTTTCACTGTTGTCTATTTCTCTCTATGACAAATTTAAAAACTATGACCGTCTTTTCCTTTGAAATAAAAAAATTCAATTGATTTTCATCATTACACAACTTGAAGGTTGCGAGTCCATATTTTTTGTGGACACCAACTCACAGCTTCTTATATGCAATACATCATAGTGTGTTATAATTCTTCATATATTTCAAATATGCAGAAAACGAGAAAAATATAAAATTCTTGATACA